TCACGCAGGCTACCCGACGACCCGGCGACTCTTCCGACTCGGCAGCTGGAGGAGTGGGGAGAACTGGGCACGGCAGAAGCGAGTGAGCTGTACCATGGCTGTACCCACTATGGACATGACGCAGGTTATACTGTACAGGCTGGCTAGGCTGGGACCCCTCCAAAAACAAGTCCCTCCGCAGTGCTCTCTGGTCTGGTCCTGTCCGTACGGGCGCTGGGAGTTGTGTTAATTTAAGTGCGCGACGCCATTCAGTTTTGCCGCGCGAGGTAGGGAGTCTCCTTTGGGCCTTACGACACGACGCCTCGCGGTGGGCGGGACGAGGCGCGGTAAGTCTTTTGTGCCCCGAAGAAGGTAATTCGGCGGCACGCCTCCAACGGACCCTCTGAAAGAAGAGTCCGCGGTCGATCGCACGCTAAAGAGATCTGGGGCAGATGATATCGCGTTGAAGTCCCCCCTGAGAAGCCGCCACGTGGACTCCGTCGCGGACGCCGCGGAGCGCGCAGACCAGGGTATGACACCGCCACCTCGAGGGCTTCTTTTGCTCCTGTCCGTCTTTTGGAGTCAGACCCGACCAGTGGCGCATACCATACTGAAGACAACCCTGGATGAACCGGTGACAGACCACCCCGAGATGATCTCGCGAGTTTGCGCCGCTTAGTTTTGCTGTGACGCCCCAGCAGAGCGTCTTATTGATCACCGCCCGGATTGTCGGAAGTCGGACTGCAGCCCGTGCACCGGCACCGGGTATTTCTTTGCCTTTGCGTGCGCTCCAGTGCTGTGGGCGGACTCTCTCGCAACACTTTGGAGCGCAATCAAAGGAGCACCCGGTACGTCTCTTCGCAGGATGCTGCTCGTCGCCGTCCTGGTGTGGCTGTCCGTGCCGGGGTCGGCCTGGGCCGCCACGCGTGGGCCCCGAGAGCCGCCCACCGTCGAGATCCCAGGACAGGGAGTCGTGGTGGGCAGGGAGGTCTCCGTGAGCCGCAACCAGAAGTCCACCCTCTACCTCAACATCCCCTTCGCCCAGCCACCCACAGGCAACCTTCGCTTCGACAAGCCCCAGGTAAGGCTTTCTTTTTTCAGTGCGACGATGGCCGGCACCACACCACGCGCTCTCACACGGTGTATTTAAAAAAATAAAAATAAAAGTGAACTTTGGTGGAGTTTGACGAACAACGGAACTCCGAAGAAATTCGACTTCAGTGTGTAGACTGATTTATGCCTGCTTCCCTCTTGCCCCGCCCCTTGTGAATCGACGGCCTGCCCCACAGACGGACCCTCTGCCGTCGTGGACCGAGCCCAGGAACGCCTCGGCCTTCGGGCCCGCCTGCCCACAGATGCTGTCCAAGCTGGATGAGCAGGACCGAATCCTCACCAACTTCCTGCAAGACAAGGGACTGGAGATGTCCGAGGACTGCCTTCAGCTCAACATCTTCACTCCGGACGGTGAGTACATCGAGCAAGGGCCCTGTTCGATTTCAAAGCCCAAGCTTTATTGTATTTGTCTCGGTATTTTGCCTAAATAACTGCCAAATTAAATTAAGAAGCGCCAGCACTCGACAAACAAGTGTCACATTTAAAATTGCAGTGCTATGTTCGTTAACGATCTTTTTAATGCTTATTCGGCGTCTTGGTTCACTGACCCTGTTACACACGAGGTCATAGTCAAGTCCAAAATGACGGGGTGCACAGGCGACCCCGCTCCGGCCGTGCCACCCCGGCCACTGGTCAGGGTCGCAGTCCCTCGGTCCGGCCAATGTTGGCGACCCCCGACCTTTATGAGTAAGGGGCCACCACACATTTTTAGGGGTTTCACGACTGGGTGACTGGCTGCTTGCCTGGAGTCTTGAATGGTCGGGCGCGGGCACGAGTAGACCCCCCCCCCCACCTCTCACACGGCTCCCGCAGGCCCATCCCGCGCATACGCTGTTTGCATATTGCGTGGCTCAGCGTCGTTCTAGACAAAAACATTCCTGCCCCTTTCCGAAGTTTTGACCTAACCACCTGCCCCCCCTCCCTCTACCCTTTCCCATCCCTCTAGGCCCGGAGTGTTGCGCTGCGGGTAGCCTAGCCGGTACTTTTCTCGTGCATAAATTAAATCGATTTTTTTCCCGGCACGGCTCCGGCGGGGTGGCTGTTGGCACCCCCAGCCTTGAAACGTGGCATGCGGCGTGGTTACTGCCTCAACCGCCGTCTCCTAAAGCCCCATCCCCCTACCTGTCGCCCGTTCACCCGGTTCGTTCTTGCATTTCTTTGCTTCCACTCCCCCCCTTCCCCCCTCCGCCTTTATATTATTATTGTCATGATTACTACCATCCCTCCGCCGGATTAGACTTGCAAACCTCGGCGCGGCCGCGGGACCTGGCCGGCCGGACCTGGCCTTGCAGCCGTGACCCGCGCCTGACCGTCTGCAGCGGCATCCCCGGCCCCGCCCACCTAGACGCCCTTCCAGCACCATACGACCACGTCACCTCAACCTCCTCAACCGACCCCGGCAACAAATCCGGCGGCCGGAGTCAGCCTAACCCGACCCGGCTAGACCATCGGGGGGCAAAATATTCTATCGGACGTGGACATCCCCCCCCCCCCCCCCCGGTGTGGGCAGAAGCCAAGGATGTGCTCTGCAGATAATAACTGACAATCCGAAAGGCGTGCCAGTCGCACCTAGGCAAACTCGATGGTGCGCGGTAGCCCCCAACCCACAGTGACAACTCGCGCACCGATTGCCTCTCCCTCGGCGGCCACAGCCACAACTCTCGCCTGTAAGGCAGCACCGAGTTCTGAACTCAGCAGCTGTAGAAGTGGCAGACAGCCGAGTGGCGAGCGTGCTAGGGCGTGCTAGGGCGTGTGTTCCTACACATTGTCGGCACAGAGATCGACTACCGCGGTCGGCGCAATCTTTTTCTTTTCCTCGCTGTTTGCCTGAGTGCTACGGCGTGAATCGTCACAAACTGTCGGCCCGAAGATCGACTCCCGGTCGGTACGGGGCGACCTTTCTTTTTGTTGCTTCTTTGTCTCGTGTAAGATAGGACTGAGTTCCGGTGTCTCTTTGGTAAGGCGCAGGTGGCAGCCGAGCGTACTGAGGCGTGCGCTGCCTGAGAATGTCGGCCAAGGGATCGACTCCCGGCTGGGGCGAACTTTTTTTATCGCTTCTTGTCTCTCAGAAGGAGCTCAGAACTCTCGTCGGGGAAGGGCGAGGTGGCAGTCCAGTCGAGCGTGCTAAAGCGTGTTCGTTCGCGGGGCGCGTCAATGCGGCACGGTCGCTTGTTCGAATACCGTCCGCGAATCATTTTCCCCGCTCTCCTGGCCATGTGTCTTCGGGCGTCAGGGACAGCAGGGCATGTCGTCGGGGGGAGGAGTTACTATAGTTTCTCTGTGGCTAAGTCGATAGCGTGCCGCCTCGGTATGTAGGGTGTCGCTGGTTCGATTCCTGTCCGAGGGAAATTTTTCACCCGCCGCTGGCCACGAGTTTTCAGCCGTGTGACACGTGAAGTGATGGGCCGGTACGCAGATAGTCGCTGGTTCGAATCTCGTCGTCGGCACCCTTTTTTCCGTCTGCCAGTCTACTGTTTCGGGGTGTGAGCCACACAGTAAACTTCTGTCGTGCGTGGACTGTATTGGCTCAGTTGGTAGAGCGCGCGATTCGGACGCAGATGGTCGCTAATACGCCCAAAGATTATTTTTCCCGTTTTATTCCCCACAGCTATGAGTCCGCCAGAGACACCGTAGATTGGCTCCACCCCTGTGGCATCATCGAGCATCCTGCCGTTGTGGCGTAGTTGGAACAGTGCCTGGTCTCTGAGCTCATGTTCCCAGGTTCGGATCCCGCTCGGTGAGCATTTTTATCGCTGTTTCGGGCTTCAGCGGCAGTGGAGATAGGCTTGCCATCTCCAGCAGACCCGGGCGGGCTGCAGCGGAAGGGGGGGGGCGACTTTACCAACTCCCTGCGGGGTTTAAAAAAAAAAAAAAAAAAAAAAAACGCTTCGACTGGGCCTCGATGCCTGAGCCGTGAGTGTCATGCGCTCCACGCCCCAGCGCGCTCGCCACTCGGCTGTCGGCTCCACTTGTCAGCAGAGAGTTCAGAACTCGGTCCTGCTTTACGAGTCTTGGTCTCCCGGATTGCACGCGTTCAGGTCGGGTCAAGTCCACCTCCTCGACGCGCTGCAGCCCGGGTCGACTCCTGGCCAGAAACAAGGAAAATGGCCAGTAAATGAGCTCCCCGGGCGCGGCGAGGTTAGGTTAGGCTAGCGGAGAGTTCATTTATTGGCCTTTTGGCCAAGATTTCGACCCGGGCTGCAGCGCGTCGAGGAGGTGGACTTGACCCGACCTGAACGCGTGCAATCCGGGAGACCAAGACTAGTAAAGCAGGACCGAGTTCTGACGTTTCCGCTCACAGAAGCAGGCGGCAGCTGAGTGGAAAGCGCGCTGACGTGTGGTCCGGAAACCGCCGGCTCAGGGATCGAATCCCAGCCGTGGCACTTTTTTCCCGTTCCGTTGATCCGCTCACGGCGACATGCGCATCACGGCTGTTGCTGACTCCCGAAGACATGATCAACAGAGCGGGAAAAAAGTTTCACGGCTGGGATTCGATCCCTGGGCCAACACTTCCGGGACCACACGCCAGCGCGCCCGCCACTCAGCCACCGCCTGTCTCTGTGGGTGGGACGTCAGAACTCGGTCCTGCTTTACTAGTCTTGGTCTCCCGGATTGCACGCGTTCAGGTCGGGTCAAGTCCACCTCCTCGACGCGCTGCAGCCCGGGTCGAAATCTTGGCCAAAAGGCCAATAAATGAACTCTCCGCTAGCCTAACCTAACCTCGCCGCGCCCGGGGAGCTCATTTACTGGCCATTTTCCTTGTTCCTGGCCAGGAGTCGACCCGGGCTGCAGCGCGTCGAGGAGGTGGACTTGACCCGACCTGAACGCGTGCAATCCGGGAGACCAAGACCCGTAAAGCAGCACCGAGTTCTGAACTTCCCACTGACAAGTGGAGCCGACATCCGAGTGGCGAGCGCGCTGGGGCGTGGAGCGCAAGACACTCTCGGCTCAGGGGTCGAGTCCTGGTCGGGGCGAACATTTTGTTGTTGTTTTTTCTTATTTTGCGCGGGGAGGGCTGGTGAGTAGGCGGTCAAGTCCACCTCCCCATGTCGGCTGGTCTTTTGTCCTAACCCTTGGTCCCCGCGCCACAAACTACTAAATAGGAAAAATTGAGCTTCGGTCAGTATTCGAACTTCGGACCGACAACCATCCGCGTCCCAGGCGCGCGCTCTACCAACTGAGCCAATGATAAGGCTTTTGAATAGGTGCAGCTCATCTCCGATGTGGCTCACACACCGGCTGGCAGAGGGGAAAAAGGGTTCCGTCGACTAGATTCGAACCAGCGACTTTTTGCGTACCGGCCCATCACATCAGGTGTCGCACGGCTGTAAAGTCATGGCCAGCAGAGCGTGAAAAATATCACCCGGTCGAGATTCGAACCAGCGACCAGGTTCTTACCGGGCCTGGACGCTACCGACTTGACCACGCCGGAACGATACAGAGCACAACTTTCGGCGACATGGAGATCTCAGCTGTGACTGACGCCCGAAGAGACTTGGCCAGCAGAGCAGGAAAAATTATCGCGGATGGGATTCGAACTACCGACCATCCCTACGATCTGCCAACGATCACGCTTTAACACGCTCGGCTGCCAGCCTGCTCCTCCGGGGCCGAGATCTGAGCTCGGTCCTGCCGAACGGGAGACAAAGAGCGACAATGAAAAAATTTGCCCCACCTGGGAGTTGATCTTAGGGCCGACAATTTTGGTTCAGATGAAGCTGCATGCGGTCATGTCGACTGTAGCTACAACTGTTTAGCTACAAAAGGGGCGTGTGGCTGGTGGCGTCGGACATCGTATGATGCCCCGGCGCGTAGCGCCTGCCGCGGTCGGGCTAGGCCGGCCCGCACCACACGGCTGCGCGACGGCGCGCGATGTTGCCTACCCTGCGGTCCACAGGCGCTGACTCGGGCGCGCAGCGGAGCGACGCCGGGCTCTGGGCTGGAGGTGCTGTTCAGTGTGCACTTCGAACGTTCTCTGACCTCTATTGTCCTCTGACAAATGAGATTGGCTTAAGAAAGATAGTGGGGCGTCAGGGTCGGGAGTCATGGAGGTATAGGAAATAAAGGTGGCGGGCGAGGGGGGAACGACTAGTATTCCGCTGAGATCCGGCCCGTGTCGATCTGGGGGTAGTCCGGGGGTGCTCAAATGGTTCTCCACGGGTAATGCGAGTAATCTGGTCGGTCATCCGTTGCACACGTGATCTCTCAGAGCAGTCGTTGTCCGCTCCCGTGTTGGTGGTTTGTGTGTGTGTGGAGCAGGGTAGTAACGCCTCGGGTGCCGGGCCGGGGCCGGGCTGGGCGCGCCCTATGCCGCCATAATGAGAGACGAGCGCGCTACTGCGGGGCCGGGGCCGGGGCTGGGGCCGTGCCGGCTGACGTCACGATAACTCATATTGCAATGGCAATGCAGGCCGGCAGCCCGAGCGGGCCGGGGGGCGCGCAGTCGGAGCCGGGCGGAGCGCAGCGC